TGCTGCTGCCCTCAGTCTGGGTGACAGAGCAAGATCCTGTCTCAATAAAATAGAATAATGTTTAAAACCAGGAAGAGACACCAGGCAGCTCACTTGCTCATACTCCTTCTCCATGCACTCGTGAAAAAGATCCTGTGAGCACACTGGTATTGAATATGAGCTGGTATTTTGCAGCCCAAGTGAGGAGCAATGGCAGACTAGTCCTTGTCCTTCTAGAACTTTGTAGCCTGTCTTCCTCCCAGCTGCCGGTGGTGTATATGAAACACCATTGATATTGTCATCTCCTGTATCTAACCCCTCCCCATTCTCCTGTTGTCCATAGCGGGGCTGGACTATCTTCAGGCTACAGGTGAAGCCAGAGTACCCCCCTTTTTTGTGTGACTGGTAGCTAAGAACAGCTTACACTTTTTTTCCCTTTTCTTGAGACAGTCTCACTCGATCACCCAGGCTGGAGTGCAGTGGTGTGATCTCAGCTCATTGCAGCCTCCACCTCCTGGGTTCAAGTGATTCTCGTGCCTCAGTCCCCCCATGTAGCTGGAATTACAGGCACACGCCACCACACTCGTCTAATTTCGGCATTTTTAGTAGAGACAGGGTTTTGCCATATTGGCCAGGCTGGTCTTGAACTCCTGACCTTACGATCTGCCTGCTTCACCCTCCCAAAGTGCTGGGACTACAGGTGTGAGCCACCACACCCCACCCAAGATTCGTCTTTATTGCAGTCTATCCAGACTTTATTCTTCCTTTTTAGGGCTGAATAACATTCAGGTTTTCTTATTTTGGGACAGGAATTCACAGCACCATCTGTATTCTCTGCCTTCCATCCTGTACCTCCAGTCATCCCTTCACCTTGGCACTATTGACTTCTGGGGCTGAATCCTTCTCTGGGGTGAGGACCGTCCTGTCCGTTTCATTGTAGGGTATTGAGCGGCACCCCTGGCCTCCACTTAACTCTGCTGATAGCACCCCCTGTGTGACTATCAGTAGTGTCTTCATATCCGATAGGGTTAGGGTCCTTGTAGGAAGAGACACCAGACTCCTGTGAGCACACAGGGAGATGGCGGCCGCCTGCAAGCCGAGAGCATGAAACCTACCTTGCCAGCATCTTGATCTCAGACTTTTTGACCTCCAGAAGTATGGGAAATAAAATTACGTTCTCTAAACAGGGCACAGTGGCTCATGCTTGTATTCCCAGCACTTTGGGAGACCGAAGTGAGTGGGTTGCTTGAGCCCAGAAGTTCGAGACCAGCCTGGGCAACATGGTGAAATTCTTGTCTCTACTAAAAGCATAAAAAAAAAAAAATCAGGCAGGCGTGGTGATGTGCGCCTGTAGTCCCAGCTCCTCAGGAGGCTGAGGTGGGAAGATGATTGGAGCTCGGGAGGCGGAGGTTGCAGTGAGCTGAGATCNCTCGTGCCTCAGTCCCCCCATGTAGCTGGAATTACAGGCACACGCCACCACACTCGTCTAATTTCGGCATTTTTAGTAGAGACAGGGTTTTGCCAGGTTGGCCAGGGATGGTCTGGATTGCCTGGCCTCTAGTGATCCGCCCGCCTCGGCGTCCCAAGGTGCTGGGATTACAGGTGTGAGCCACTGCGCTGGACCGATTGGCTTGTATATTTTTAAATGGTTGTTTAAAGAAAATGTCAAGAATTTTTTGTGTTATGCGAACACTGTAGAGAATTCAAATGTCGCTGTCTGTAAGTCTCAGAATTCGGCCTCCCCCAGACTGGCCTAGCTCTATGTTCTCTCCAACTGTCCTGTCCGCGTTTATCTTCTGGGACTAAACCACAGGACTGAGCAATTCCTGTACCTCCATCACTCCCTCCCGCCTCAGTACCCAGGCCCTTGTTGAACCCTCGTCTTAGGATGTCCTCTGTCGCGTGTCTGAGCTTACTGTGCCTTGTCATACCTGTCCCCCCCATCCCTGTACCTGCTGGGACCACTCCTCAGACCTGCCTGTCAAGATGCTGATCTTCCCTTTCTGGAAAGGAGCTCTGTGTTTTGTTCACTGCTGTGTCCCTGCTGGTATACAGTAGGTGCATCAGTGTCTGGTGAATGAATGAACACAGGGCTAATTTGAGATCTTCTGCAGTCTCTTCCACGGAGCTCTCGTCTCCCTCCTCCTTTCTCAGTTCAGGCATTCACCTACGCCCTGTTGCCCCGGTGACCGGGGCTGGCTGCTCCTTGTGTCCCTCTTCCTGTTGAGGTGGCCCAGCCTCACTGAGATGGTCCTCAGGCAGCCCTGGGACTGGGTTGTCTGAGCTTCAACTAGCAGAGGCACCTTGCTGTCTTTCCTGTGCTGCTTGGGCAGTGAGATGAACAAGACCTGTCTCTCTTCTCTTGCAGGAAGCCTGCGACTGGCCCCACCAATCCTGGCAGCGCCAAGAAGAAGGAGAAAAGAGTTCAAGGTGAGCAATGTCAGGGTCTCTTTAAGGAACATGGTTTTCTTCTTTCATGAGGTGCTTTTGGAGGAAGAAAAAACAGGCCAGAAAAGGGGGGCTATGGCTTTACTTCCTTGTAGTCATGCCTCTGGGGATTCCAGATCTGGCCGTCCCAGCCCTGTGGTGAGGGATGTGTCAGGAATGGTGGTGGTCATTTTGAGCAGTGGTTTCCCTTGCAGACATGGGGGTAGTGGGCTGTATCCGAGACGAGTCCCCTAGAAGCATGGGTATGGAGACTGTGGAGATCATTATCTAAAATCATACTCTCCTTTTTTTAAATTTTTTTATTTTTTTG